TAATAATAATAATAATAATAATAATAATTAATAATAATAATAATTCTTATAAATTCTTACACTTCTTCGTACCGATAGATTCGAAGAATGTTATCGACTTACTTTATTAATTATTTATTCATTTATTTATATTTATATTTATATATATATATATTTATATAATATGTATAGCTCCCCCTCGTCCGCAACTTTTTCGTTAATAGTGATCTTTCTTTTTTTTTTATCGTATATAGATATATCGGTATACAGAACTAGTATCAAATTCTAACAGAATCGAGCTACATAAAAATTGTTCCAACCGTTTCGGAGAGATATGCATTTCACTCTGCATCAACTCGTTCTTTTCAGAGTTATTTTCTTCTCTTTTCTTTTCTGAAGTTTCTTGAATTTTTTTTCCCCTCGGTTTGTTTCATTATTTTAGATAAAATATCAAGCTTCATCACGTGACTTCACTATAACCCTTTCACATCATCATCATCATTTCATTATAATCATAATCATAATCATAATCATAATCATCATCATCATCTTCATCTTCATCCTCACCTTTATCTTCATCTTCATTTTCGCCATCATTATCAGTATCAGCATCATCATTATCATAATCATAATCATCATCACCATCATCATTATCATCATCATTATCATTATCATTATCATCATCCATTAGGAAATTCAATTGTCTTTGATTCAACAAATCGATCGCGCTAGCACGCACCTCTTACATTAAGTTACACAGTAATTAAAGATCTAAAGATTCAATCTCAATTGCAAACGTTTCTATTTAAAATATATTGATACTCAATTTCTCACAGAATTCACGCATAAAAAATGAAGTATTAGCTTCACACCCTCATTCATTCCCCTAAGCACAGTTAAAAATATATTATAGTCATAAGAGATCGATAATTCCAATATAAATTTAAAAATGAATATTTTTACAAGGCTTTAAAATTCAATTCTAAGTATATCGATTTAAAATAAGATTTTTCATTGCTTATATATAAAAAGTCTGTTAAAAACGACACCACGTATTTTTCTTTTCTTTTTTTTTTTTTTTTTCTGAAGTATCTCTAACATGAAAATCATCATAAAAAAAAAAACAGTATAATCGTTGATAAATCGTTGCAAAAGTCATTGATTTTTCTTTTTGTTGAATTGTTCATTAATAATAATCAGCATTTTCTTTTCTTTCTCATTTTTTAGGCAGTTAGGTAATTCAGTACTTTTCATCGTGGAAATGCAAAAAAAGGAAAAAAATTATTTATCTACAACAATACAGTGAACCCGGTACACAGAGTGCACACATTATTCGACTGTGTTGTTTGAACTATCGTGTTATATCTAATTAATAGTATGAGAGAAAAAAAAAACACGTTCTCGATAAGAAAATGCATTTAAAAAGTAACACAGTCGCATATTTTCTTTCAGCCTTTTGAGATGCAGGATTTTATCTAATATACTTTTTTCTTCCCTTCTCTGTAAAGCTGATTAGGTTTTATCTTTGTTGTCGTCTATTAAATTACAGTAAATGGTACTATTATAGTATGTAAAATGTCACTGCGTATATATATGTATACCGCAGCAGTAATAATTCTCGATGTAAGTAGATAAAAGTAGCAATCTGCTAGCCAATGCAGAATCATTAGACGATCTTCGTTTTTTTTTTTTTTTT